AGCTGTTTAAGCAAGAACTTGAGGATTTCGACGATTGTTTATCTTCTTAGGATGGCCGACATGAATTAGTAAATTTCTTGCGTGGTCAACACTCGTTCATGGATTTGGTGCTGCCGATTGGGGTGAGAAACCAGTCTTATGATGTATGTTGGGATCCAAACAATTGAGTTAGGTAGATGGAGGCCATAAACGATGGGCCAATCACCGAGCCAAGATGAACGGCAAGCTAAACATCTGGCTGGATATTTGACTCCGTACCAAACATAACAATGTCCTGATTTAATCATCCCCAGAACAACCTGCCGCAGTCGCAGTTGTTTATATGCTTCATTTCAATTTGTTTTTCAAACTACGCCTGACACTTGAGGTTTTCATCTATCGTCGTGTGCCATTTTTGAGTGAATTCATATTTTTGACCCGCTGTTGATTTCACCCAGACATTTCCGGACAAACTATAAGGTTAGGCCTGAACAGTCACCCACCCGACTGCCCCGTTAAGTTTGCATATGTAACGATGAAAACAAATATATCTTGCAAATGCGGCGAGACAACAAATAAAATAGGACTGCTTATTCAGCTTAGAGGAAGGTATCTGAAAATCGAAGAAAAGGACTGCTTTCTGTAAATTGTAATATAGTTAGAAAAGATGATGATGAAAAGATGATTTGATGACCTCCCCGACGTGCGGATTCCTGAAGCAACCTGAGTCAGTTAGACCATAGCTTCTGAACTTGAATGTGGTTTTGACTGTGGATCTCAGTTCACATACTGTGAACAAAAAGACTGCCTACGTATGGTTATCTGTCATTTTGTTTTGTTGTATATCCATTATTTCACACTTAAGGTTTTCCAGATCTCCATCTCATCTCTCTCAGTACAGAGAAAGGCAAGGTTTGGGCAAGGATGCGACAGGGAGATCTCGTCTGATGACCCTGTGATGCCGTTCTCTGAACCTCATGGAACAGACGGTGGTCACATTCGAGGTTGTTAAAATGGTTGCACTCATCGCTTCCCAAACTATTGTTTATATGTACCCACAAGGATTTTTTGGGAGGAGTGTATGTGCTTAAGGTTACTGATTTTTACGAGAAGGCTTTTTGCCTGTCTGCTTGTGAAGAATATATAATTGCGTGGTTGGATAGTAGCTTCCTTTATGTTGCCTTCAGTACTTTCAGCTGACTGATCAATGAAGACTGCACACACACTAACGAATTTGACTAAATCAAAGGTAACGAGATGCTGTTTACTCAAGTACTTTTTCAAGTACTCTTCCGAAAAACGATGAAGCAATTGACAAAACCATGGCTCACCTAAAAGTGCAAGTCTAAGCTACGTGACGTTATGAAAATGCACCCATCCGACACATTACATGTTCAACCAAAGAAATCAAAAATCCGGATTTAGGAAAGAGGCTGATTTTCAAATGTTCTGAAGTGTATTCAACAGTTTTCAGAGTTGGACATTACAGTGTATGATCCCTGAATTACCCAATATAACAACGTCATCTAGAGTCTGTATTGATGACGCGGCCGAATTACCCGCCGGACAAAGAACAAAAACATTTTCAGAAACCCCCGCTTTCTTTGCGCAGAGAAAGGGTTACCCGCAAACGACCGGATCGGGTAGAATGTGAAACACGGGTTCAACAAAAGTATGAACACGGTGTGTCAATTGTTAATTGACATAGTGTTCCTCAAAGTCAATTTCCCAGTATGAACTTATGGGGAATTCCGATTACTTCCAACTTCCACAAGCATCATCATTTTCAAAATAATGTTCATATTATAAAGAGGTGTGAAAATGGTAAATCAAGTTTTCATCCGAAAATCCGAAAAGCACCCCATCTGCAATACACATCTCACAAATCGCCATGGAGATTCCCACTCACAGGCTCTTCAATTTCTCGGTTGCTGATTGGAGCATCTTCAGTTCGAATCCATCTGGACCTTCATGAGATGGTAATGAGTCCCAACAAGGGTGAAACTGCTATACAGCGCTTCTCAGCTTTCCGGCATAATTTAACTTTGCCAGCTTGCAGTTCAGCTACCTGAGGTGTGGGCCAAAGTTCAAAAGGTCGATCGAACTGCTTCCAGGCAATATACTAGAAGAATTATAACTTGCTACAAAGTTTCACAGTTAAGAAATATTTTCAGTGTCGGCCAAATGGATTGTGTCGTTTGTTACTTCTAATGGGATGTGTCAGCTTGAACGGGGAAACTGTGATGGTTTGGTGGTGTGGGGATGAGGTGAATTAATGGGTTGTTCATCCGGTAAAGGACAGTCCATCCTGTCTTTCCATTCTCCCTTCCATCGGACTGTGGAAGCACTTTTCCTCGTCATCATCTTGTCTGAAGACCACGTTTATCATCAGCTGAAAATTCACGTGAGCAAATTTGCTCTTAGCAACCACAATTATGTGGACATATTGCGTCTGATGGCTGCCGGATAATAAGTTTTCCTGACTATAGTTCAACCCCACCTCATTTATTAAATAAATTATGGTAAGAGCTCGATGAAGGGCGTGTAATAGTTAGGATATGAAAGGAAGATGTGAACTGGCTTATATGAGAGTACGACAACGAATAATTCGCCAAATATATCATTAATGCACGCCAGCATTACTTAACACCTGGGGCAAACAAAATTGACGTGCGCTTGCAAGTGAATGCGATATCAGTTGGAAACAGCTCAATTCCTGGTTCTTTAACGAAGTATGGCACTCACAGGTTTTCACAGGCCCTTAATGTGGTGCTATATAAAATAAATATTAGAGGCCAGCGATCAGAGCCTTTGTTGCCCAAAATTCTCTTTGTGTCAGTAATTCAAAACTCGTAAGAACTATGGGAATAAATAACCATTGAATAGAGTGTAATCTTGTAGTTTTCAACTGGCTGCATCCACTGAACCAGTGTGATAGTTGGTTTCTAAATAATTGCTTTTTTTATCTGAAACTGGATTATTGATCCAATCGAAATGTGCCTCGGCTGTGCTTTCCGCTCTTGGTCTGATACCCATGATTTTTTTTCACGGTATACAGCTTGAAGCATCGATTCTTCATGGAAAAAGTGATATCGAACCGCGAGTCGTTCATCATAGCCAATATTCTATTACTTCTATCCTAAACTGGAATTTCTACCGATACTTAGACGAGTTTGTCAAGCTGATCGAGCCAGACTTTCTTTCTTGTAAAAGCTTATTAATTAAACATTTTGCGCATACGGGTTATCTGGAAGGTAAATTGTATCTTAGGTGAAGGGGATTGTAAATTCTTGTCTTTTTTAAGGCCTGTATACACATCCAGCCACGGAAGCGTGTACTTGCTGCAGATTTTCTACTAAGCTCACCACATCCAGCGGTAATACGCATGGATGCTCTTTGTCGCCATTCCCGTTCAATTTCATAATCAATGTGCTGCTTCAAGCGCAGTTACCTGCCTCCAACGCCTTGGGGAGCGAAATACACCCGAGATTTTCGTCTAGGGGCATTGTTTACGACAAATCTAATGATCTTCTTGGATATGACCCGCTAGAGGTGTACGCTATTTAAGTAGCCTAAATAATTTTACTTCACGGTCGGTATGCACTCAGTGCCCATAAAGTGTAAAGAGCTACTGCTAGAGTGGGTGGGATCAAACCCAAACTCCATGCTTATAGGTGAACCGAACAGTGTCGTGAATAAGTCCGTCTAACCTGGCAGCTGCACGAATACAGGAGGAACGGTGAAAAACGAAAGCAAATCCTAAATCGGTAGGACCATGATAACACTTGTTAACCTCTGACTTCTGTGGCGTGCATGTGACTTCAGCTTGACTATCAGGGGGAAAATGCAGCGTTCCATCGTTTGATCTGTCCTACTTTGTGGGTCAGAAGTGTGGCCACTGAGTGCAAAAACTATTTGGAAGCTCTCTGCTTTTAACAACCAATGCTTAGTGGGCATTGCTTAGGACTATTCAGATCAGCAATGTTGAGACACACCAGATGACCTTCTGGAAAGTTCATTCCATCAATAAATAGGATGGTAACACTCCACAGGTGACGTTGGTTAGACCATGTACTCAGTATAGCACGGAACCGTTTACTTTATAAAGCGTTCTTCAGTTTGCCTTGTGTCGAACAGTGATGAGTTCTTAAATTTGATTCTCCCACATACTAAGTAGTTTCAAGTAGAGTTCAAAATAATTATTATTCCTTACTCTCGATTTTTTTCCTCGATTTGTTAAACACATACCGGTTGAATACACCATCGTTTCTGATACACAGGGAACAGTTATGTTCATCAAGTTGAAAGGTCCGGTTTGTATTCCATGAGAGATGAGCACTGCTCAATCATATAGGAAACTGATTTTAGACATTTGTTTCTCGACTCCATGTATATACTATCTTTTTATCTTTTACTGAAGTAGACACAGACGTCCGTAGCCTTTAATTTATGTTGCCTTCACTCCAATCAGGTAATCTAAACAAATTGGACACCATTCATATCTCCCCTGATGATCGGGAGCCACAATCGCTGCATTCGTTCTTAATTGCTCCGAAATAAACATAATAAAACGGTGAACTGCCGTGCCATTCGTGAGCCGAGACCATCTTGTTATCGACTTTGGGCAACATCTTGGAATTTTGTCCGTCCCGATGGGTTGTTCGTCAACCAACAAGCCCTTCAACCTGCATCCTTATTCATCAATGCTAACCAAACTGAAATAACCATCATGTCACGTATTTGTCCTGCAGGGAGCTACAAGTGTTCACCACTTAAATTATTTGTTTTACCTCTAGTCATATAGCAATACTCTTATATAATAGCAAGCTACTTTTTATGTACTCGTCATCGTGCTAGCCGGTAGATAGGAGTGCCCATGGGTAGATCTGTGAATACTTGGAGACAATTTTCCAAAATCATCGCCTGAACTCATGGTCATCAAATACAGTTTCTAGCTCATTGTATTCAGTAAAAGATTTTTCATCCCACTCCGTCTATATTCACTTCTTTCCCCCCTCTAGTTTGTTTGCAATTCTTCCTGCCCGGAGGAGCAGCCACATGTCCTTCATGGGATGTGTCTCACGGCGAAAGAATATGCAAAAGTTTCCGGCAAGTCAGCGCGAGACTTGCGTGACAGAATTGTGATCGGGGTGTCTATATCAATCATTCCGCTGATCCTGCTGGCGACCATTATTTTGGTGATTTGCTTGAAAAGAAGGGCAGAAGCTGAGAAAGCGAGAGAAAAACTGTTCTCGGCTTACACTAATCTCCTGGCACCCGATAAGGTTAGTGGAGTTAGTTGTATTGAATGCATCTGGGTTGAACCCATTTTGGATTTCTTCATTTGTGGTGAGTTTAGGCCATTATCCGAATTTTATTCGACAGCATTTCTTGTGTGCGTTGTATGTTCTAAGACGATCCATCTTAAGGGGTGTAACCAGTTGAGAATTGTTGATGACAAACACAGAAACATTAAAGTTTAAAGTTCTCCACTACCCTGTATACATATTATCGAGAACAATACGCCAGCAATACACACTGTTGCTGTATTGCTGAACAACCTAAAGAAATGACCTGGTTGATGGCGCAAACGAGAAGAGTGGAAAAACTCCGATATCCTTACCTATGGTGAACAAGGATGAAATGAATACACGTTTAGACGGCAATCAAATAACATATCCCACTATGTTCCCGAAGTAAGACATCGTAAAATTGACCGACTCGTCAGCATTCGTGAAACGTAACCCACACGTTCCATCAGGCAATGACAGGTGGTGCTTAGCTGGGCAGTCCGATTGGTTGGTAAAGACGTGCACGCTAATGGGCTCGCTTAACTTCCATGACATTAAGAATTTTTAACCATGTGCGAGGAGGCTTATCTGAATTCCAAATTGTAAGACTTAAAGATTTCGCATCACTCAGTTTGGCATCGGCTGCCTTTATATTTTGGCTGTCATATCGCAGGCTGTCTATGGCGAATATTTTACAAACAAGAGGTCGGAGTAGCATGCACAGATTTTTTGTTGAATAATAGTTGTGTTCCCCTTCATCACTTTTTATGTACTCGTCATCGTGCTAGCCGGTAGATAGGAGTGCCCATGGGTAGATCTGTGAATACTTGGAGACAATTTTCCAAAATCATCGCCTGAACTCATGGTCATCAAATACAGTTTCTAGCTCATTGTATTCAGTAAAAGATTTTTCATCCCACTCCGTCTATATTCACTTCTTTCCCCCCTCTAGTTTGTTTGCAATTCTTCCTGCCCGGAGGAGCAGCCACATGTCCTTCATGGGATGTGTCTCACGGCGAAAGAATATGCAAAAGTTTCCGGCAAGTCAGCGCGAGACTTGCGTGACAGAATTGTGATCGGGGTGTCTATATCAATCATTCCGCTGATCCTGCTGGCGACCATTATTTTGGTGATTTGCTTGAAAAGAAGGGCAGAAGCTGAGAAAGCGAGAGAAAAACTGTTCTCGGCTTACACTAATCTCCTGGCACCCGATAAGGTTAGTGGAGTTAGTTGTATTGAATGCATCTGGGTTGAACCCATTTTGGATTTCTTCATTTGTGGTGAGTTTAGGCCATTATCCGAATTTTATTCGACAGCATTTCTTGTGTGCGTTGTATGTTCTAAGACGATCCATCTTAAGGGGTGTAACCAGTTGAGAATTGTTGATGACAAACACAGAAACATTAAAGTTTAAAGTTCTCCACTACCCTGTATACATATTATCGAGAACAATACGCCAGCAATACACACTGTTGCTGTATTGCTGAACAACCTAAAGAAATGACCTGGTTGATGGCGCAAACGAGAAGAGTGGAAAAACTCCGATATCCTTACCTATGGTGAACAAGGATGAAATGAATACACGTTTAGACGGCAATCAAATAACATATCCCACTATGTTCCCGAAGTAAGACATCGTAAAATTGACCGACTCGTCAGCATTCGTGAAACGTAACCCACACGTTCCATCAGGCAATGACAGGTGGTGCTTAGCTGGGCAGTCCGATTGGTTGGTAAAGACGTGCACGCTAATGGGCTCGCTTAACTTCCATGACATTAAGAATTTTTAACCATGTGCGAGGAGGCTTATCTGAATTCCAAATTGTAAGACTTAAAGATTTCGCATCACTCAGTTTGGCATCGGCTGCCTTTATATTTTGGCTGTCATATCGCAGGCTGTCTATGGCGAATATTTTACAAACAAGAGGTCGGAGTAGCATGCACAGATTTTTTGTTGAATAATAGTTGTGTTCCCCTTCATCAACCAATTCTCGCTTATTCACCATCGCACGTTGCACACGATACGGACGGCTAATCGTCTACATACAACAAAGGGGCTCGTGATTGTGTTTCAAAACCTTTGCAAGGTTGTTGTTAGGACAGTGTGTAGATTGATTGCGTCAGCCCCAGTAAACTGGTGACTTCCACTGCCGAGATGCGTAAACTAACCAGCAACTCAAGTCCTCCAGATTCTTGAAGTTTTAAGACAAACTGAAGCACGACTCTCAAATTTAGTGTAAACGGATTGTTGAAACACGAAACGTAATACATATTCACATCAAATCGTGCGAACTCGAATAAAATAGAGCGAAATTATATCGCATATCTCAAGTATAGCCTCATCTTCATCATCGACTGTAAAAGCCGCATAATTGTCTCACAGTGATTATAGTTGCCAAAGTTTCGTTCCCCGAAGATTTCGGAAAGTGGAGCAGATAGCTTTGCATTGGAGTCGATAGTTGATATTGTGGATGCGTAGTTGCAGGAACACCAATGAACTTTTCATTATGAGAATCGAAAGGGAAGCTATGCGTTGAAGACTACAGCTTTGATGCACGATCCCTACTGATAGAGTGCAGTTGAGTTTGCTGGCAACGACTTTCATACTTCGTTGCCAAGTCACTGTTTGACCTCTCTTGGGTAGTTTTTACCCTTCGTATGGTTGTGAAAAAAGTGCTCCTCCAGAATGCCGGTCAACTGGCATACAACTGCATTGATCTCTCTCCAGATTCCCCCTATATTTTCGGACTTTTGCCAGACACCATCCGTAGTGCATCCGCTAGTGTTGGGAGACATTCTGAACAGTTGGTTTTAAGCTTTATCACCCAAACTTTAGAAATTTCCGGTAAGTATATTTGCACATTCTTTCGCGTTCTGTGGAAACACTATCCTGTCTACAGAGCCAAACCTCTTTTGAGGTCAGTTAATATGTCGACTGTGGATCAGGATATCTCAAGTATTCGAAAAAATCTAGGGAGAACGTCACACCTTCTACCTGATCGACATTCTAATTACCGGGCTCTAATTTACGCTTCACATGAGTTTATACGTCACAGTATTATTAAAGTTATTAAACATGTTACGATAAGTGTCCATGACGATACGCAATAAATTCATTCTTTTATACTGAAGAGCTTCTCTTTGACATGGTTCGGAACAAAGAGTCATGGAATTTCATCTTTCCTCGTCTCTGATTTTCCCGTTTGATTAATCGCTCCCTGAAACATCTGGTTACTTAGGTGCGCTTGCTTCTCGTGACTTCCAAACGTCCTTCAATTAGGTTAGACCTGGACTGTCAGAATGGATATTTTTCCGTAATACACAGCATTTGGTAAGTAGACGGTGTATATGGACACTTGATATTGAGGAAGGATTTGCAAAAAGTATATTTTTAGTTCATTGTTTCTGGAATGAGATATAAACAAATTATTAAGACAAGGACTAGCATTAATATTTAATGAACAGTTGGAATACCGAATCTGGAATCTCAGTATGGTTATTCTTGATTTTACCTGGTCCGCCAGGCTGACTGAAGTAAACTCTACAGGAAAGAGAGAACTGGCGCTAATGACTGAGTGTCCTAACCCATGGATCCTTGGTCTGTTTGAAATCACATGAGATCACTTGACTATCGATACTGCAATGCACTTGTTGATATTCACCCCAGTTAGCGAAACAGTCAGATTGAGCCAACACACGAGCTCACGTGAACCCTGTCCTAAGAGTAGGACAGTCGTGGTCGAGAAATGGCCACATGCATAACTCAGTGAAATGTGCCTCCTATAGTCCTTAAACAATCACATAATCAATCCAAGACGTTGATATTCATGAAGTCAAGTGCGGAGGCCAGACACAACTCTGTCTCAGAAAACGCGACTGGATAGACAATCGTGCTTGGCCGGTTCCTGCATTTGCGAAGTTCAAAGCATTGCAGCTGTTTTGCGTTAGCCGCAAACAAAGATGCAGTAGTATAAGGAGAATCCGCAGTTCATGATCAGGATTGGAAGATTACGAAACATATTATCATGGCGCTCACTTTCCATGGGTAATCCACTGCATTCCTGGCTAAATATTTTAACCCTCGGAGGGTCGTCAGCTCAAAATCCTTCCCTTTTGGACTAAGGGCTGTATACCAATTCTATACATAGGCTACTGGTTCTATAGGCTGCTTCGTTGCCAGTTATGAGCGTGAAAATCGAATCCTCTCACGACATGCAAGTGGTACTTTGTACCTGACAAACTGAAGAGACATTCGCTGTTCTACAGTGTACTTGACCATTTTACTGAAAATACGGTCGATGGTTGGTGAAGTACACTCGTTTGCAAATTATGCTAGTGTCAAACAGATGTGAATTTCTAATTCGCAGTATTCCTGGATTACTACTCAAGGTCAACGGGAAATTGGGCACTACGCTCACGTGGTTGGTCCCAAACAGGGAAAAACCAGTTATGAGCTGCCAAAGTTTATTCGGAAATGTTACTATTAGTACGGTACACCAAGACAAATCCGTGCTAGTTCGGCGAGTGCTCAGTTTTGAGTTCGAGGTCTCCAAACTGGCAGTGACAATGCAGCCAGATACTAGGGACAAATTATGGATCTTACAACACAAAAGTGCTCTGCGTAAATATTTACCTTTAGATAGGTAGATAGAACATAGCTTCACTTCAGTGGATTGTCGC